TGGTGGATTCTTTAGGGTTTTCTATATATAAAATCATGTCATCTGCAAAAAGTGACAGTTTCACTTCTTCCTTTCCAATTTGGATCCCTTTTATTTCTGTTTCTTGCTTGATTGCTCTGGCTAGGACTTCCAATACCATGTGAAATAAGAGTGGTGAAAGTGGGCATCCTTGTCTGGTTCCTGTTCTTAAAGGGATAGCTTTCAGTTTTTCTGCATTGAATATGATATTAGCTGTGGGTTTGTCATATATGGCCTTTATTATGTTGAGGTACTTTTCTTCTATACCCATTTTATTGAGAGTTTTTATCATAAATGTAATTCTAAGAATTTATCCATTTCTTCTAGATTATCCAGTTTGTTGGCGTATAGCTTTCCATAGTATTCTCTTATAGTCTTTGGTATTTCTGAGGTGTCCATTATAATTTCTCCTCTTTTTTTCCTGATTTTATTTCTTTGAGCCTTGTCTCTTTTTTTCTTGGTGAGTCTAGCTAAAGCTTTGTCAATTTTGTTTATCTTTTCAAAGAACCAGCTCTTAGTTTCATTGATTTTTTTTCTTTTTTTTAAATCTCTATTTCATTTATTTCTGCTCTGATTTTTATTATTTCCTTCTTCTACTGATTATGGACTTTGTTCTTCTTTTTCTAGTTCCTTTAGGTGCACTGTTAGATTCTTTATTTGAGATTTTTCTTGTTTGTTGAGGTAGGCCTGTATTGCTATAAACGTCCCCCTTAGTACCACTTTTGTTGTATCCCATAAATTTTGGCATGTCGTATTTTCATTTGTCTCCAGGTATTTTTTGATTCTTCCTTTGATTTCTTCATTGACCCAATAGTTGTTCAGTAGAACTTTGTTTAATCTCCACATATTTCTGGCTTTTCTAGTTTTCTTCCTGTAGTTGATTTCTAGTTTCATACCATTGTGTTCAGAAAAGATGTTTGGTATTATTTCAATCTTCTTAAATTTATTGAGACTTATTTTGTGGCCTAATATGTGATCTATGTTCCATGTACGTTTGAAAAGAGTGTATTCTGAAGTTTTTGGATGGAATGTTCTGTATATATCTACTAAGTTCATCTAGTCTAATGTGCCATTTAAGGCCAGTGTTTCCTTATTGATCTTCTGTTTGGATGATCTACCCATTGAAGTAAGTGGAGTGTTAAAGTCCCCTACTATTATTGTGTTACTGTCTATTTCTCCTTTTATGTCTGTTAATAATTGCTTTATATATTTAGATGCTTCTATGTTGGGTGCATAGATATTTACAAGTGTTATATGCTCTTGCAACTAGTAGTTTCTTTTTTTTTTTTAAAGATTTTATTTATTTATTTATTTTTCCCCTCAAAGCCCCAGTAGATAGTTGTATGTCATAGCTGCACATCCTTCTAGTTGCTGTATGTGGGACACGGCCTCAGCATGGCCGGAGAAGTGGTGCGTGGGTGCGCGCCCGGGATCCGAACCCCGGCAGCCAGCAGCAGAGCGTGCGCACTTAACCGCTAAGCCACGGGGCCGGCCCACAACTAGTAGTTTCTTAAAGATTAGTTGTAATGTGAAATCTGGAACCATATTAATGAACTTTTGTACTCTGTTTCATCAAAATCCATTGGTCTATCTTGCTCTTTGAATAAATCTTTTACCCATACATGATTTTGTAACATTGTGCATTGGTCATTTGGAAAAACTGGTTTGCTGATTTATGCAGATCTTCCAAATTTTGACAGATTTCATTATACAACATCGAAACTCCATACTTTTTAGTATTGCCAGCAAGCTCATCAGAAAAGTCTTGAAGTGTTGGGAAGCAGTCCAGCTTATAGCAGAAAGCATCCTAACTGACAAGTTTTCTAAAAATTCAAACTTTTCCTTGAAGGTTTGAATTTTATTATTGGCTACAATACTGTCAGTTGTTATCCTTGAAGTGACAGGCTCACATTGTTCCTTTTTGAGAAAATGCCTGCCAAGACCAGGTCTGAAGTCTTTCAGGTACTTTTTTGAATAAAAATGTTGTTCCATGAAAAAAGTGGGTAGTTCAGTTTGCAACTCTAAGAATTGCACATTTGCTTTTTCTTAAGACAATCACCATGCTTCAATGTGCAGCTGAAGTGGTTTATTCATACTTCCCATTTCATCACATATAATATTAAAGCTATCTGTTCTCAAGGGTCAAGATTTAATAATTTCATGGCTATATCAAGGACATTCTAAAGTAAAACTGGCTCTTTTTTTCCCTATTGTGCATGGTTGTGAAGAATACAATGACTATGAGTACAGTTTGTCTTAATTCATGCTAAGGCACCATCAGTTTTTATCACTGTTGCTATTGCACCATCAGTGCGAATGTTAACACAGTGAAAAAGTCAAATGACGTCTTAGTATTATTATGGAATTAGTTTTGTCTTTGGAGTTTCCCTGAAAAGATCTCAGGGACCCCAGGAGTCCACAGACCACACTTTCAGAACTTCTGCCGTAGCTTACACTTGAGTCTGGAAGCAACCCAGCATGCTTCTGATAAACTCCCTTTTTCTGAAATCAGCCAGAGTTGGTTTCTGTTGCCTGTCTCTGTTGCCAGTGTTCCATGCTAAAAATGTCATTGCTTATGCTTGGTTGAATCAAAATCTTTAAGGAACTCTAATTTAGGGCAATTTATAAGTAAGTCCTTTGTTGTGATGATTTTCACAGCAAATAATCAGGAAGAAGGAAAGATTCTATAGTTTCACTTTACTAAAAAAATCTAATACGTATGCTCTCTATATTCTTGGTGTTAAGTCGATGTTAAACAATCAAACAAATCCACGTCAGTCCATGAATTGTGGCAAAAGAAGGGTAAGGATACTAATATTTTCTCCCTTCTTATGAATGCTTCCAGTGACCTCATTGAGCTAAGTATTATTGTCCTCATTTTAGACATTTAAAAAACTTGGATTCGGTGGTTAAGTCCTTGGCCAGGGCCACTCAGTGGTCAGACCTCTCATCCTGGCTGAGAGGCTCCACACCCAGGGCCTCTTTGCTGTACCAGGCAGGAATTTCTGTCAAGGACGAAAATGTGAGCCTGTGACGTCTGAGGTTTGTGCCTTAGAGGGCAGCGCTGAACAATCACGGACGTCAGAGGCGGTTCTTTAAGGAATTTCTCTTATGAATTCTATCATGATCATCTGATAATGCTGGCTCTCTACCAATACAACATTTTTGACATACCATCAAGTGGTATTTTAGAGTTGGAAGAGATCTAAATCACGTAATCTGTCCAAATCTGTCACCCCTGGGGCATGCTGTAATATTCAATGTGCATTTCAAATGATACTTCCTGGGTGATGACTTCTGATAACCTGATTATCGATCATCCTCCTAAATCAAAATGTATCACATACAGTGGCAGGCAGCTTCTTAGATGGCCCCAACAACCCCTGCTTCCTGATATTCACACCCCTGTGTAATCCCCTCCCCTTGAGTGTGGACGAGATCTGTGACTTGCTTCTAACCAATAGAATATAGCAAAGGTGTTGGGATGTCACCTCTGTGGTTAGGTTTCATAAGATAGTGACTTCTGTCTTGCTAGATTAGTGACTTCTCGACTTGCACATTTTGATGAGACAAGCTGCCACGCTGGAAAGTTTCACATGGTAAGGAACTGAGGGCAGCTTCTGGCCAACATCACTGGGGAACTGAGGCTCTCAGTCCAACAGTCCACGAGGAGCTGAATATGGCCAACAACTACTGATGGAGCTCTGAAATAGATCCTTCCCCAGTCAAGCCTTCAGATGAGACCCCAGCCCCAGCTGACACCTTGATTGCACCTTTGTGAGAGACCCTCAGGCAGAGGACTCAGCTAAGCTATGCCCAGATTCTTGACTTACAGAAACTGTGAGATAATATATGTGTGTTGTTTTAAGCCAATGAGTTTTGGGGTAATTTTTAGGCAGCAATAGCTAACTAATACACTGTACTACCTTTATTTATTTGTCTCTTTCTGTACCAGGACCAAGAGTGAGCTGTTTAAGGTCATTGGTTCCTTGTCATATGTGTTTACCTGATTACCACCACTGGAGAGTTTTCTGTCAGGATCCATCGTCAGGGTGAAAGGTGGAACCTGAGGCCCTCAGTGTAGTTTTTAGTGCTCCAGGAAAGCCCTCTGTGCCCTCCGTCAGTTCCCACCTTTGGGCCTCCCACTAGAACCTCTGTAATTGTCTTTCTCCACAAGCATCATTTAGCTTACAAACCAGAGACAGCAAGCCCATTACTCCCTGTGGTCTGAAACTTCAGCCTTGAAGGGAGACTGTTAATTCCCCCACTGCTGTTCCACAGCAAAGGTATGAGTGCAGAAATGCACATCTCAATCTAGTTCATAAGTAGAGGTGTAAATTGTCTGAAAAACTTGAAGCCATGAGATAAGAAACTCCTTTTGAGAGAAAGAGGGAAATTGGAGAAATATTGAAATATATGCAATGCCTAGGGCATCTGGCAACCCAGTTCACTCTAGAGGCCTCAGTTTCCCCATCTCCAGGTCCCACAGTCTTTGATTCTTAGTCTGACAATCTGAGTTGCTGTGAACTGGCTCTCTAGGTCCTAAATCAATTATTAAAGGAAGATAGCAAATACCTGTCTCCTAAGGGGTTTTAGGATTAAATGAAATGTGCAGCACAGTGCCTGCAGAAGAGGGAGCCTGGCTGTTATTACTTCTCCCAGCGGTCCCAAGTCTCAGGGAAATCGGGGCCGCCCGCACCCGGGCCTGGTGGCCTGCCCCGCCCACGTGGGGCTGCGGCCCGTCGAATGACTCGGTGCAACGTGTTGGTGGCGGCGGCGGCGCGGGCTCTTCCGGGCGCCGCAGCTTCCTGCCAGGCACGCGCAGCCGCCTCCGCCGCGGGAGCCCTCGTGCAGGCCTCGGCGCTGGTGCGGGACGCGGGGC